TCTCTGCAAGAAGAATTTTTCATGAAATAAAATAGTCACAACTGCTTTCCCAAAGCAGCAGCAGAAACAGCACTTACTTCCTCATGGCTGATCATGCTTTTTTTTTCCCCTAAGGAACAATGCAATCCCATCACCTTTATGCTACTACACTGCACACACCCAAATGACACTGTCCTCAGGGATCTCAGACCTCAATACTACACTGCAATTAAAGTACAAAGTAACATAACAGAGGTCATTTGCTAGTACCTACATCCTCTAGCACCTACCCTTCTGACCAGGGGAATATGTTACATTGAGTTAGTGTATACCTAACTCATTGCAGACTTAACTGATCAAAGCCTGGCACAAAGTCAGGAACACACAAGACCTTTTCACACCAAGACAACCCTTTCCGCAGGCAAACTGGAAATACCTCTTTTTCAGATACCCTTCTCTTTCGAATACCAAGAACAGATTTAACCAATCACACCTTGCTACACTTAGCTTTATACAGCAAGTTTCTTGCTTTTTTTCTTCTCCAGCCTGATAAACATTTACTAATTTATAGTAACTGGATCTACAGAAGAGATTGACTGACAAACCTCAAAAGTTTCAGAGATATCTGAAAGTGTGATAAGGGTCTTATCCACAGAACAAACATTGGGAGAAGAACCACCACCAAGTACAGCATTAAGAAAACAAAACCAAACCAAAACTCTGAATCTCATTTTGAAGCTGCTACCATGCTTTTCAGAGGCCTGATTCACTGCTGGAGCACTGGGCTGGCAGTACTGGAGCTCATGGCTCTGAAGAGCCCATGCTAGATGCTGGAGTTAACTTCTGTCTTGTCAATAGCCTGCCATTTATAACAACTAGTTTTTGAAGGACATTTGCATTGTCACTTCAAAACCCTTGGGTCAGATGGTTTGGGGGAAAAATCCAACTGGTCTAAGAAAGAAAAAAGATACTGTATCAAGTTGTTTTATGTAGTTGCTCAGTCAACCCTTCTTCCTACTGCGTAAAATAAGGCCCAGGTTCACAAAACTCCCATCTGGACAAAGCTGGGCTATTCACTTCAAGGCAACTACTCACTTCTAGGGGCTAAACTTCATCAAGAGACAATTAACATACATTAAATTCTTTGGCAACGCTCTTTTCCCAACTAAATTCCTACCAAGGTGATGTTCTGCAAGTCCTCACAATGAAGGAAGGATGAAGCAACAAACTCCATTTTCCATTCCAGATTCAAATCCATACTGCAAGTTGATATCCGTGTCTTCTAAGAAAATTAATCTCCTGCAGTAATATACTGGAAAATCTCAATGACTTTTGCAAACACAGATGCAGATTTAGAACTTCAGGACATCTGCACTCAACAAACAGGCAGCTGTTACTATTGACCCACATACGAGTATTATTGTGCTCAGTGCCATTAATGAAGAATATTTCATTTATTCGAGCAAAGCCAAATTTTAGCTTCTACATGCTTAATTCCTCTTTGGATCAAACTTCATTGCCACCTCTTGCACTTCATACTCCGTAAGCCACTCATGCAGAGCATCCTCCTCCAGTCAAATTAAGATTCTGCTTTCAACTCCCTCTGTAAAGTTTGCTGTGCTCTCGTCTTCTCCCCAGCCGTGTCAGCAACTAGGATGACCATAGATAGAGCACATTTGGCAGCTGAAATGACCCAGATGCTGAATCTGGAGCCATCTTCCCAGCTGCAGTAGCTGGGCTCACATCCGACACCTCAGCTGTTGGCTGTCAAGCTGCCCTCAAGCTGTGCCAAGAGTACATCTCAAAGCTTTGACCAAAGTGGGGCAAATGCTCTAAATCTGTGAGGCCTGCTGACAAAAAGGATAACAAAGACTAAATGTTTTAAAAGTGGGCAGTGAGGGAAACCAAGCACCCTTCTCCTTTCTCTTCTATTCCTCATTTTTTTCCACAATCTCTTTTCCCTATTAATAAAAATTCAGGAAGAGCTGACTGGTGAGAGCAGGTCTAATGTACTACGTCCTAGTCTGAGGTACTGACCAGCAGGAGATTCCCCTTCACTTGTCAACATTACATGCAGTGGAAGGTGGCTCGTGGACCTCCACATCAAGTCACGGGCATAGCAAGGGCTGGGAAATAATCTTTATTGAGGGGAAGGTGGAGACAGACAATTCCTTTATTTCATTATTCATTCTTTTAAGTGTCCTAGACATCTTTAAACTGTCAAAGCTGCAGAAATTCTTGTACAAATCAGGAGCGACTATTTAATATCCTATTTCTGACAATTTCATCATGATCTTGAATCCAGGAAGGGACTTCTACATCCTCCATGCCTCCTCACTGAGGAGCAAAAGAAAAGGCTTATCTTGATTCAATGGCCTCAGTCATTCAATTACCACTATCCATTCCGATCTAGATTTAAAGGAGAGTATTTGAAGTTTTGGCCCTTTACCTCATCTCTGCTCAACCTGGCACAGCAATCCACATGCTGATAAAATAAACCATCCCCACCCACCAGTAAAGTACCTCCACATGGCCTATTTGCTACTAAGAAAAAGAAGTTTCTTCTGAAATAGCAAGCCAAACTTACAAATCCCTCTTTCAGGTTTCTTGTATGTATTACATATATACATACTGTACCTGTTAGAGCTCCTGAAAAGAAAACACTGTTTTAGAGAAAGGTTGTTTTTCTAAAATATCACATTTAACAGTGAAAAATATTTTGCACATTTACTATTAAATAGCCTATGCCTTGCTATAAAGCCAAGCATTTCCAAATTAAAAATAAAGATGATCTTCCGAGCAAAGGGAGCAGCATGAAGTTAATTGTGCCTAAATATTTTTGTAAAAAAAAAATAAACAAACCATGGCATTTTTAAGACACAAGAGTAATACACATTCCCATTTTTAATTACTACTGAAAACAGTAGTTCTGAAGTTAACTTCACCCTGCAGCACTTAAGTCACTAAACTGAATTACAGGCACTAAGAACCTTCAAGTGAAACAGACTTCAAATGCAAGAAGTGGACTGCATTTTAGGAAAACCAATTCAATTTAACAATATATCAGTAAAGGAAAGAGGCTGTCTACAGTACCATTTCTTTCCTTTAACCCTCTTCTTTCAAGACAAGTGACTCAAAATCAGAAGTCCTGTAATTAGGAAACAGGATCCAATACACCAACAATTTTTATTCTCTACTCAGAGATTTCCTGTGTGATTGCATGCAAGGAAATTAACATATGTCAGCCTCAGTTTCTTTATATCTGAATTTTCTGCAATCTGAATTAGATGTTGGGGGAGGGAAGAAGAGGCAACTTAGAGTTAAATAATTATGAATAATTTCTTTAATTAAAAAAAAATATTTAAGCATTCAGTTTGCAGACCCAAAATACACAAAGTAAAAGAAGGCTACTGCTCAGCTGAACTGGAACTCCAACCCTCATGCCCACTTGCTCTGCAGTATTTGGAGAAAAGACAGGATCTGCAGCACTCCTGCCATGAACAAATCCACGCTCTGCTAAGCCCCAGGAAATAAAGTTGCAAAACAGAAGGTACCGCACACAGCCAGACACACCTATTTGTTTACACAGCACAGACTCCAATTTCAATCCTCTGAAGTACTCAACTACAGTAAGTAGTGTAGCATGTAAAAATGACACTTAAAATGAATAGCCAGTAAATAAAGCCAATTTACAGGATTCTAGCTGTCACCGGCTTCCTAGCTTAGTTAATAAAAATCAAATCTATATATTAGGCCCTTCAGAATAGAAACTACCTCTTCATTATGTTTCTACAGCACCTAGCAAAAGGAGGCCCTCAACTGGTAATTGAAAATACCAGAAAACCCCAATACAAATCATAAGTTCTGCTTTTAAATGCTGTATTGGGAACCTTCTGTCCAGGTGACAGCCTGCCATTGCAGGATTTTTTTTTTTCTAAACAATATGACATCCAAAAAATTATTGTTCAGGGCACTGTAATTTCTACCTACAGATTAGCACTGCACTTAAGAAAAATCCTAACAAAACAACTTACTGCCTTTCAGTCGCTACACTTGCCACAGTGAAAAGAGACTGCCACCCAGTGGACTACAACCAAGTACATCAACTGCAAGCCATGACATTCAATACAGAACTGTTGAAAATTTTATTTTTAAGAAAGTGCGGTTATTTTTAGGATTTTTCCCATTAATATAATAATGTTTCAAATACATAAATTCACTCATCATTCTGTCCTGCACCTGAAAAATCAACATTTGCATGAAGGCACTGTACATATAAAGCTTTTCAGAATTATAAGAAAAAAAAAAATCTACTAAATCAAGCTTCCACCAGAGAAATAGTTAACTAGTGCAATCACTCCGTTCAGAGGTGGGTTATGTTCTAAATGCAGCTTGTGCCATCCTTGGGAAGGTTTAAACAGAATTCACCTGTTATATGGCAATGCTGAATAGCATACACAGATAGTTTAACACCTCTCGAGCTTTGGAGTTCATTTGTATTTGTAAAATCCTTCTCCAGTCTTCTTACCCAGCTTCTTTTCTTCTACCAGTTTATTCAGAAGTGGGCTGGGTGCAAAAAGAGGATTGTTGGGCTCTAATGAATGCCATCCTGGTGGAAGAAACGAAGTGGATGAATTAGTAATAGTTTTCTTTATATGCAAAGATAACAGAGATCTGCATCTCCTCAGAAAAATGTTAAGAGGTCAGAAAACTGAAGGAGGTTTGGAACTTATTCTAGACTCTCTAAGACCCTTCAATACAGCTTCATAAAGCACTGACCAGTATTGACGATTATGAGCAAATCTAGCAATTAGTCTTTAGGTGTAGTCTACTCTGAACACCTTATAATGTCCATGACTGATGATTTTTAATACTTTAAAAAAAAAATAAGAACTTTTAGACTATAGTTAAGTACAAGGAAATAAAACAGAGGCTGTGCTGAAAAGAAATTCAAGTAGAAAGAAATTCCAAGTTGAATTTCTACCTGCAAAAGACATAGTCAGTTAGAACAACACTACTCCACAGCACCAGCTAAAAGCAGAAGAGGTTTCATCGAAGATGCCATTCTGAAAGTGACATTCAGCCTTGGAGAATATTTAAGCTGCTCATTCAAAATAATACAACAACCATCAACAAGCCGTCTCCAATTATCTTTTTTTGTTATTGTACTGACATTCATCCACTTATCAACTGAAGTGAAAGGGGCATGGTATACTTGCACCTTTTAGGGTATTTGCTGGGTTTTCTATTAACTGAGAATGAAAACATGGCTGGCAGAAAAAGGATAGGGAGTCTCAATATTTGTTGCTTTTCATCAGAATTTCTTACCTCCAGTACATGTCTCTCCTCCCACTGATTCTTTATAAAGTTCCACTAACATTATTGTTATTTTCCACTGGAACTTGATGAAGTCAGCAAAACCACCGCTGTTCTGTCCCCATGTACATAGGCTACAGGCATACAATACAAACGCTGTACTCATACAGCATTCTGAGCTGAATTCTCATTCCTTTCTCCTCAGCAGTTAAAAGGCTATGCCATAAACATTTAGTTCAAACTAATTTAAGAGTCAGATTTTCATTAGAACATTCACCTACAATTTAGCTAAAAAGGGGAAAAATAGAAGAAAATAAGTATGCAGTACCATCTATAATGTATTTACTGGTATCCAACCCAACATAGTCCAGCAGTTCAAATGGACCCATGGGATAGCCAGCCCCAAGCTTCATAGCAACATCAATATCTTCCTTTGATGCATCTCCTAGAGAAAAGATTGACAGTTTGATGAACAGAGAAGATTCCACATCTACTCGGCACCACTTATAAATAATTAACAGGGTGTTATTTCACCCGGGTGAAGCTCTTCACAGAAATCTCTGCACGTTTCAGAACCGCAAACACTGGAGTCAGCATACTCAGCTGGAGTATAAAGCTGAATCTCTCAAAAAAAAAAAAAAAAAAAAAAGCCCTGCAGGCCTGCTTTCCATTTTTCTAGCTTCCTCTTGCATTTCAATATAGATCACTATGCTACTGATGGAGCCACAGCTACTGTGCTCAAGCTGTCATAAAGACTAGAGGAAGAATTGGTCACTATGAAGAATCAACAGCTTCTTTTAGAGGCAGCTGAATAGTTTAAGTAAGAAAAGATCTCAATTTCAGCTTCATGAGATCAGCAGCAGCTTTTGAACGATGCACGGGACAGAGCTACCCTTACTCTACAACAGCCAGAAAACAAGTGATACCCAGATGATGGCCAATGCAGGCATGGGGAGAAAGCAGTAGCAGTTGAGTAACATGCTTAGTTACAGCAGCTTTCACTGAAGGATATCCATCAGCATCAGAGATGGCAGATCAGAGTGACCTGAAGAGCCTGTGCAGGTGCAGTTAAATTTGTGAATTCCAAAATTATTAAAAAAAAATAAATATCAAAATTATCAGAAATTTGTTACTTCTACTTCAGTCTGTGCCTTTAAAAATACAAGTCCTGCATTGCCCCATTGTCACAGCTAATGTTCACTTCATTCTTTTGCTGGGAATTCATATTTTATACTGTCATGAGAGCAGATGCACCTTTACTGCTTATTTCTAATACATATTTTGATAAAGGCAGTGCACTTCTTTGCAGATCCTATAAAAAGGATGAAGTTAAACAAACTCCAGAGGTACTTGTTAAGTAACCTCCATGCTCAATGCCTACAAGCATTCAGGGTGTCCAAAAGCTTGGCAGACATAGCCTATGCAATTTATAAACCTAAGATCAGAGAATCTTAGAAATAAATTTTCAAAGTCTCTTGTAAAGGCAACAACTTCCGTGAAAGTTCTGTATGAAGTCATAAGTTTTATACATCTCCTTTTACACTTTAAAGCTGACAATTTTTTTTTTAAACCACATTTTACTTCTGAGAAACTGGGAAAACTAGCCTTACTTAACTCTAACATAAGTTCAGTTCCCCAAATTCAAACACGTGTAAATCCTCAACTCATTTGAAGTTGATGCAGATGTACATACTTTGTCAAACTTGGGACTTGGCCACCTGACAGTATACAGTTGTGTTACAATACAATTAAAAATACTAAAAGGGCAAACAAGGGTTGTACCCCTAGTTCATACTAGTCTCTTCGTGTAAAGCAGACTTCCATAGAAACTTGACTGACTGCTTTTTTAGTTTTCCACTAAGAATAGGGCAGTACAGACCACCATACATTAATATTTATAATATGCCCCCTGTTTAAATCACTGTTAATATACTAAAGGTATTTTGCCTATGCAAAAGCGCACGTTTAACCCAAGGAGATTTTGTATAAATAAAGACTCAAGGACTGACCCAATAAAATGGTATTTCAGTGCTTGGAGTTGCCAAGAAAAAGACGACCAAATTCCATATTAATGTGGATGACAATCTGGCTCAAGTGTCTACTCTGAGATTTAGTGCAAAGGATATGATAAAAATTTAACCTGATTCAATGGAAAATATGAATTAGGAGACAGCCACCAGGCTTTTCAAAACATTAACCAGCTTTTAAAATATATTTCATTAGAGTTAAAAATTCATAAATGAACTTTAACAAGTTTGGAAATACCACACTGTTGAACAAAATACAAACAGAATAAAGATTAAATCAAAATAGTGTTTTGCTTAGGCAGAAAACAGTCAATTTCAACATACAATCTCAAGTGACTGTTTTCTTCTACATTTAATTAAAAGTTCTATTGTCTCCTGAAATATGTATAATGATATATGTCACTTAACAAAAGCAACTCTTTTTACACACACTGGAACACCCATACATTTTATTTAAAGTTATGCCTTCTTCTGAGAGAATAATGCCCCCTTGCATTGCACTCCATTGCCTTTCAAGTCACTAAATTCGCTCTTTTCTCCCTTTGAGATGTAACTAGGTACATCTGTTGATGGATAAACAAGCAGTGTTGGTTTATATTTTTTTTTCCTGGAGATCAAACCATCCCTTCCATGTGCTATAAAAGAGATTTTTAATATTTAAAGCATATTTGGTGGAATCCAGATGATGGAGTGCTTTCATCTGTAGAAAAGCAGTGATTTCAAAAACAAAACGTTTCAAATGACATTCTTAGTAGCACAGAGCTATGAGCAGAGCACTTGAAATAAAAGCAATTATACTCCGTAATTTCCTCTTTATCCACTACATTATTGGCTTGTTTCCTTTTCAAAACAATTATCAATGCTTTGAAAAATTTTGTGGTTCTTTGGGGATTCATGATTATTTCTACTTACCCTCAGTATTAATGTAAAAGAGACCAGCAGTGAGATGGGAGTTCCTAAAGAACCTATTTCTAAAAAAGGACATAGAAGAGGAACAGGAGGTTTCACGGGGCAATAGTTGAGCCCAAATCACTTGTATGCCAGTACCGTAGTGTGATACTGAGTATTATAGTACTTACCTCACCTGAAAATTTCACAAGTCCAATATAAGTGAACTCAGGAGAACTTTGCTAATGGTCCTATTATGGGATTTTCAACCACTTTAATGAACGTCTCTTGGGATGGAGAGAGAGAGGTTCCTGATTAGTTGGCAGAGGATATTTTTACAATGTCACTACACTCACCCTGTAGTCTCCAAACCAGAAACATTTTCCACCACGAGAAATTTCCCACACAAGTAACTAGTACCTTCTGACTCTGCACACACTGACATTTCAAAGTGAAGACAAGGCCTTTCCAACTATACGTATTGGCTCATATTTGGTGTTCACTATTCACTTCCAGCCTTTAAGGTCTGAAAGTTTTGAGGAAATCCCAAGGCTCTTCTGAAGGCATATAACATTTAGCAGTGTTACTTGTCAACATTCCCTGCAGTCAATATCCCAACAAGTACCTCTCTCGAAAAGTCGAACAGCTTCCATCATATATGGCACCAAGAGACGGTTTACAATAAACCCTGGAGTATCCTGTGAAAAGAAAAAAAGGGATCCTAAATAAACATTCTTTACCTGTACTACACTCAAAACGCTACATGAAAAATTAAACAAGTGGATGAAGACACTTATTGAATCATCAACTTCTGGTACTCTCTAAACTGCGTTTTTCATATGATTTATCTGCTCATTATTAAAACACAAAAGATGAATTTCACAAAAAAGGAATGGCATATAAACATTCATCATGACTGAGAACAATAAGACTACTACAAGTGCAGCTCAGTTAATCTTAAAACAATTTAATGTGGCCAGCCAGCAAATACCTTTTCTTTAGCAAAATTCTGCCGATATAATTTCCTGAAGGATACGAGAAGAGCAGTTCTTCTCTAACAGTTTTTTTGGCTTTTTTGTGTGTTCACTACTAGAAACACTCCTGGCTAAACAGTCTGCTTCTCCCCCAGTGCACACTGGTATACCATGCTTTCGAAAGTTAGGATCACTTCAATAGCAAACACCAATGCTATCAATGAAAAGATAAGATACGTGCTGTCAGAAGAAGATAACAGACTGATACAGAACTTCTTTTACACAAGCTTTAATCAAAATCAAAAATACAAAGAGAAAGAGCTTTGCAAATACAGTATTATTTCATATACTACTACTGTTTCAGATGCTTATTGTTCATTCCATTTTATCGCAATATTTAGTCCAGAGAATTCCAAGCAACTTTTCTTCTACAAACAGGAATATAGGGGGGGGGGGGGGGGGAGGTTCATACATGGAGACTGCATTACCCTCTACCCAAGCTAATTTGTAACAACAATTCATCATATATTCTGCACATTACATACTGCAAAACCGTGACAAAAACAGGAAAAAAGTCAACTAAGGCCACATAGCAATTTAGCAGTACAGCCAGAATTAAGAGTCCAGCATCCAGACGCTGAATTACTGGTGACTACCAGATTGCAGGCCCTTCTTTTTATGATCAAATGTCTCCTGGGGGCTCTGAAACTCAAGGCAATAGCTTGCATAGAGCTACCCAGACCACAAGTTAATGGATTTGGAAAAAGCGTGCTCAGGAAGTAGGGTGTTCCTCTAGAGAAAAAAAAACAAAGTTGCAAAGCAATGAAGATTAATATGGGCCTAGTTACTGCAGTCTTAAGAAAAACTTGCAATGAGCACACATCATGGAGGATTCATCCAACTGCCTCACAATACAAGAGGTAGCAGTCTTGTCCCTAGCATGGCTAAAGATGAGCTCCTGCTTAAGCTCTACAGTCCAGGCTTCTCCAGGACTGGAAAAGAAAAACCAAAAACTGTAAACCCTGATACTTAATGAGTTTTCCTGCTCTAGACAAGATGTCTAGAGTCACTCTACTTTGAGGAATTTGTGGTAAACGTGTGTGTTTTCTTTGTCAAAATGCTTTTAATAGGGAAGAGAAACTGGACAAAAAGCAGCCTGGAAATTCCTGAAGTCCTCTTACATCTACTAAAACCTACCACCTTAAAATTAACAGTTTTCAAGCAGAGACCTTCTGAACACTATCAATCAAAATGTACTCACCTTACAACTGACAGGACTCTTTCCTACTGCTTTACTGAAATCCACAAGCGATTCAAAAGTCTTTTGGCTGGTCATTGGAGTCTTGATGACCTGGGCAGAGCGAAGGTAGGGAGAGCATAAGCACATTTATGAGCAGAATCTCTCTCATTTACCAGTACAGCAATGATTGAACTGTAATCCAGAACACTATTCCAGAAATTCACAAAACATTTGTTTTACAAAAAACAATTTCGGTGGATACATATGTTAACAGACACAAAAATCTATTTTAAAGATAGATACAGCATTTTGCATATTTTGAAAGTATGTGTTTCTTTAAGACACTTTCCCACTCAGCCTTTGAAATCGTATTTAGAGATTACAGGATAACAAAACAACTTTAAAAGCTACATAGTCTCTGTCGCCTTGGGAAACACGATGGCTTCACTTTAGAGAACTATATTAACAGACTTATTTCCTGATATAAAGGGTTGTAACATCTACCCTGTGCCCAATGTAAACTGACATTTAATTCTAAACAAAATTTAAAATCTCTTTCAAATTTGTGACAGGCTCTTAGCTTTTGAGTAGTATGCTTCCATGTTGATTTTCTTCACAGCCGAGTCTTTTGTCACATGTAGTATTTTCTATACTTCACTGGAGTTGGGATGCATTAAGACATTTATTACAGACCTAACACCCCCCCCCCCACAGCCAAAAAAGAATAAAAAAAAGAGACTTGCAGAAGCTGAATGGGTTATGATATTTGTGTTGAAACTGATCTCCATGTGCAGTAACTGAAAACTGCTATACATAAGCAGTTAAGGCTGACCACCTTGTTTATACAATTAAGTCACACAGAGATTTCCCCCCATCCTAATGACTGACATAAGGCCAACACAAAAAAAACAGTTACGACTGAGGAAAAGGCTTGTTTCTCAGCAGAAAAAAAATAGTGTTCTTTGATATTAGATAAAAATATCTGAGATGCTTACGTAAGACTGCAACAGTTTCAAGAATGAGTTTTTAATATACACTTCAGAATTCTGAAACATTAGCACTAGCCTTTTGGATTATTAGAGAAAGAAATTCCCTCAAAGCTATGTGCTTCTGAGCATGAGATCAACAATCTATGAAAAGAGCAGATAAGACTCAAAGGCACTGCAGATTTGTGACCCATGAAGGACAGCTTCCATGACAGATGACCGGCAATTTCAGTAATATCTTTCATAGTTTTGGCGAGTCTCTTGATTTTCCCCAGATTATTTCAAACTGAAACATCTGTTTTACATAGAAAATGTTGTTCTACAGTGTTTGTCAATGCCAATCCTGATTTACAGCAGTAGTTCTGAAACAAAAGCAAGGCTTTACAAAGTGTATTTATTTACTAATATTGGCGCCTTTCAAGATCAAGTCACTGAAAGCACAGCTTCTGTGTTTCAAAGTTCTTCAAATACTACTCATCAACTAGAGTGACTCTGGGGTAGGACATTCATAAGTCAGGTGAAAAAGCCCCACAAATTATAAAGATTGACCACAGCAGTCAGACAGGGATGGCTCTGTTTTGGTTTTTTTTACAAACAATGCCAGATATCTTCTGCATTTTTCAAACCTCACAGAGGCTTAGTTTAGGTTTCCAGACTATGATTTGTTTTAGGCTTGAGACAAGGCATAGAACATTTCATCCATAGAGATAAATTACTGCCAACAAGTAGTTCTTAGCACAGAAATCAATAAAGCCAACGTGAGCCTAAGGAATTATGCTAAAGATTTCTGTTACCTCTGACACCACCTACAAAATTCCTCCCTCTCCTTCTTACAACATTCCCCAGAGCATTTAGTCACAATATACAGGATGCAATATTAAACTAAAAACAAAAAATCCACATGGCTACAGAAGTTAGTGAGAGAGAATCTGCAAGTGTTCAGCCCTCACCAGACAACGATACTCTGAATCAAATTTGTTAATTTCAGCCAAAAGGTTCAAACACTTCAAAAGGGGGAGGAAGAGAATGATACATTCAAAGACACAGAGCAAGTAACTGCATCTTATGTATTTTAATGAGAAACAAGCAAAAAATATAATAAAGTGAATCTCAGGAGTTCAAAAGGCAGGCACAACATATTTGAAGTGCTCGTCACCAAAGCAATACTAGAACTAATCCCTTATGGGACAGAGGAAAAAGATTTACAGCATTTAAGGGCACAAAGTACATGAAACATTTTGGGGCAGAGTGGCCGAAATGCAAAGTTTATTTTCACTTACTCAAGAGTTTATAAGTTCTAGCTGATCAAGGTCAGCCATAATGGGGGAATGTGAGAAAGAGAAAAGAGACCTGTCATTTTTTCTGCAATGTGACCCTTACTTTGGAGGCACAGATAAAGCCTTGTATCAGATTATTTCTTATTCTGCTCTGCATTGCAGTATTATTAAAAATTGCACAATGTAGCCAAAGAGACTATGTTTAGAAAAGACGTCTGAAGAGTTATATAGAAACTTGTTTTTACACTTCCTTGAACACTGGGAAATACTGTAATACTTCCAGACAAATCATCTGGAACATTGAAACAAACATGGCTGACTTTGTTTCAAAAGTCACAAGGCAGTAAGATTTCATCTCTCATCATTTTCTATTAATTTCTGCACCAGTAACAACCAAATTCCTCTGTCAGTCTCATCAGATGATTTTAAGCTGTCAGTAGTTCTTACTAATCAGCTTGCCTGCATGCCTGAAATGATCACTATAAACAGCACCTCTGTTGGCAGTTCAGTGGAGAACTTCGGAGCCTCGAGACTGAAGGAGTTACCTCTGCCTCTTCAACCCGCCCCTCAACAGAGACTGCATCACCCTCTTATCACTAGCAGTAGCTTATTCCATATCAGAAGAGCTGCAAACTGAGATCTACTCTTTCATCTAACTTAATTCCCAGTGATGACAATTGCATTGCTGTGCTACAGTGGTTATTATGGTGATAAGACACTTACCTCCACGAGCTTCATCATTGGCACAGGATTGAAGAAATGGAGACCACCAAATCGGTCCTGCCTGGTGGTTGAGTTAGCCAACTGCGTGATTTGCAAGGATGAGGTGTTGCTCGCAAATATCGTATGCCTGGAAAAAAGAAACATATGGATTGCATAAAGGACAGCTATTTTTCTGACAGTAGGAGACTGATGCACTAAACATAAATAGATATCCATTGGCTAACCATCCACAGAATTCTCAGAAACATCCCTGCAGATTATCATGGTCTTTTTGCTGAGGTACAAGTACAGCAACAACAACTTAAACACTGGAAGGGCTGTGTGAGTTTCTGACTCGCAAGTAAGTATGTTGAATGCTTATATTAGGTGACAGAAAAAAAGACTCTGTAAGTAGAAAAATTTTATTAACTCCCCAAATCTATTCCAGGTAATTCCTTCAGCATTCCTGGAAACCCAATGGTGTTTTTTTATTGTTAACATTTACACATCTATGGAAATCCAATTGTTTGCCATGTCAAAAATGCACTTTGGAGCCTTAAGAAAAATTTGAAATTTTTTTTTTTTTTAATAGTGATCAATGGTAGACATGATGAGCAAACCTACCACCAAAGCAAAGAGCTGATGGAAAAAAACTGAGAAAAGATAAAAACTGTCATGCACAGGACACTGCAAAGGATACACAAAATCACAAGAATTTTAAGACAAAGATGAAGTCCTTTTCCAGACATAAACCAGATTTATAAATTGTAATTTATAATGGTTTTGGTTATTTTTTTCCCCAGAAATACCTCAGAACCTCAACAACACTGCTATACTGACATCGCACCGAAAACTTACAGAAACGGCTTTTTCTTCAAACCACAAAAGTCTGAAACTAAATTAGAGATGAAGCCCTACCTTCCATTCTGGGCTGTATCCTACTGACCTTTCAAAAAGTCATCCTACCAGACTCATCAAATGTTAATCTATATTGGTATTTTGCTTACATTTCACTAAGATGTAACTGAGCTTCACAACAGAGCTTTCAGAAAAGTTATGTCCAAGTTGTGGGGACATCTTATAGTGGCATTAAAAGAAAACATTTGGGGATAAAAAAGACCCACACTGATTTTCATTTTTATTATGTTTTCTCAGTTTCTGAGAATTTGTTATGGAGAAGGAAATAAAAAATTCTGAAAATTCCTGTTTACACGTCTTACAAATATTCTTTTGCTATTTCCCCACCATAAAGTGGGCCTTATATTGTTCTGAGGTGGGGTACTAAAAAGAGTATTTTACATTTCATAGTTTTGACCTTGCAAGGTCAATGCATCCAAAAAGATGCTTATCACCACTGAAAATCTGCCACTGTATACAAAGAATTCAAATATTCATATAAAAATTAAGCACATTGATTTGTGAGATGTAATCATTGTGAGGTTTATATCTGGGTTCACTTAAAAGTATGAGATTGTACCTCAGCATCACTTCTGCGGGTGAATACTGTAGCCTCACACAACATAGAGCCTTGAGAAAAAAAGCATTAAATTTGTATTTTGTACAAGGCCATTTTATTTACACTTTCTGCTCTGACCAACCAATGGATTTAAATTGGGTTTAAAATAGAATTTTCATGCCTCTGTGACTTAGAATTACATAATGCATGCTTCACATGACAGCAGAGTTGGAAGGCTTTTGAAAGCAACAGTACTAGTGAAGCCCTAGTGATGCTTTTCCAGGCACCAGTGTGCTTTCTCTTGGTGCCATCTAGTGGGTCATGGGAAGACATTAAAAACAGAGTCCAACACAAGGGAACCATACCATTTCACTAACACTGACTCTTACAGTCCAGCTCTGTTACACAGTGAACACTGAACAACACTTCTTTTGTAACAGTTTTGTAACACACCGATTCTAACACACTGAACAGTTCCTAACCACTGGCCAGCTCCTAGCTGAGTTTCCACATCCGAGGATAAATCCTAGACCAAGAGATGTTGACAGGCATTCCCACAACCCAGAAATAAACAGAAAGCAAGCAGGCAAGAGCTCTTAAAGGGGATACCCAGAAATTCTTCTGTCATGTTCATTATGATCCTGTTTGGAAAAGCGCTGCAGTGTTTAAAGGCCTAAAACTCACAAGGAATGTGGGGATATTCTACAAAAACCCTAGTCTGACCTTTTCGAAATGGAAATGTGAGACTGATTCAATTCAAGAAAAGGAAAACAGAACTGAAGAGTGGGTAGCAATACTTTTATCGCCTGCTCTAAAGATTGTGACCATGTAACACAGTAAAACAATTACCGTATTAGGAGGATGAGTATAAAACAGAGAGGAATGTAACATACACAAGCAATTTTGCAAAGCTCTAAGAACATAAACCACTATGCTCTCAGACTGATGGCATCCAAGAAACAGCACTGACCATTTCGCCTGGACAGTTACCCAGATGAGGAATACCCTGAGTTCCCAATGCTCTCTAGGGTTGCCAAACTCTCCCATCTCATTACATTTTCTCTGAAAACTTAAAGGAAATTCACTCTCTACCTCCAAATAAAACTTCTCTCAATAAAGAATAGCTTGCCCACCCCCCTCCACTTATAGATCACTTTCAGAGGAATTATAGTTCTTTTATAGAGAAAAAGGAAGAGGAAGTAAGTTAATCATGTTTTGTTTTTTTAATGCAATGCTTTGGTTTTGTGCTGTCCCCAGACTTATCTTCACTGGAGAAGTCATCATAGTGCAAATATGGGAGGCAAACATGTAGCTGTTGCAGCTGAGGAAACGCGAGACATGGGATACAGTACAAAAGAAAAACACATGGTTTCACACAGCTCATGTTCCAAAGGCATAGTTCATCATCTTGTTTGAGCAACTGTAATACACAGCCACTTATGTTTCGATCAGCTACCCCTGTGCTAAGTCCTGAAATTTGAATTAAGATAAGTTCCCCCTCCTCAGAAGGCTGGTCTTTCATGATCTCTGCCTGTAACATACACTTCACAGTGCCATCGACGCCCAGGGCCCCACAGAAGCAAAGCTTCTCCCAAGACTCAACGCTATCTTTAAACAAAGCTTGTCTTTGTTACCAATCACTCACAAGTCCACAGCCCCCATTAAGCTGATGCAACAGTTAGTCCATATAATGGTTTCAGAGATTTTGAAATGTTCAATCTTAGCAAAGGCTGTAGGACACCTGCGCTGACAGGGAGAGCTTTCCATTCCTCCGCAGTGCTATGCAGGATCAATAAAGCCTACTGCTTCCTTCTAATGCACAGAAAAACACTCATGAGACATTTCTGCATTCCCCACGCTACTCACATGATCTGCAACTCTATACTCCTCACATAATTACAAATTACCCTTTGTATCTAACAGCTAATATTTTAAACCCTTGGCTACAAGTTTCACAATTTTACTAGCTTTTCTTTCTTCTCATCTAGACTTTCTACACTGCAAGCCATATTATTCACCATTCACTTCCCTTTCTTTATCCTACAGGTAAGATATCTGTATGTTTATCATCATTTCCAATTCTCCTCTTAAAAAGGAAGGCTTCTTGTCTAAGGTCATTTTTCCCAACCCTGCAAAACCACGCCTTTTGCCACAGGAAAGAGCATATCTGAACACCTCCCAGTATTTTTTAACACTCTGTAATGTAAAATTTTATGTTTCAAGGCAGCTATGCTTATAAACAGCTCACTCTTATGAAAAATAGCCTCAGCTGTTCCAAATATACATATAATTAAATGAGGTTCCAAGTCCCTGTGCCCACCTTTCCTTGCTGACTGGTACTAGACAGTTTGCCATTTAGTAGACTCTAATTTGCTCATTAGCTTTCTCTGCTGAATATGGACAAAGACGCAGGCAACCAATGGTCTGTTTTCACAAAATAAGCACAATCTAATCATGACAAGGTAACTGGTAATTGCCGAAGGCAGCTACTTACTTTTGTCCGTCAGACTAAGGGTAACAGCAAGTTAATCTGTGCTCCGTGCACGGCTGTTTGTGATCATTTATTGTTTTTGGAAGTACCAGGTAATTTTGATTACCGACCATATGAGACAGCCTGAAAATCTCCCCAGACTGAAGTCACCTAATGGTAACATCTTTTCTCCCTTGACATTACATTCAAGCCACAGCTTGCCTAGTTTCTTTGGTTAGACAGTCTAGAATACCTCTTAGCCAATACCCCTGGAATTAGCTGTACTAGTTAAAACCTCAACCTGCATGCAGTCAAGGTCTTGTGATCCCGAGTCATCCATTACAAAGATCAAGTTTCTGAGACTGCATGCTCAGCTTAACAGCATTTTTTGTTTTAGATACAATTCAACAGTAACTTCCAACAGTTATCAAATATAGTTCAAAGAAAGTTCCAGGGACTGTAACTGAGTGCATGTTAAGAAATTATTTACACTTTTACCTCACACATAATAAGCAGCAATGAGCTATTTCCAAACTCTTGTAATACAAAGTAAACTTAGTTCACTTAAGTCATTGTTGAGCTGACTGTGACTTACAGCTAAGAGGCTGAGACTTCTTAAAACTTGTTCATGCCAGGCATGTGGGTGACAAATATTTTATCATCCCAATTCCCCATTTAAATATGGAAACATGTACGTTAACCATACCCCACATGTACCAGGACAAGCTTATTCTACTGTTGTGCATTTGCATTTAGATTTGAACTTGCTGAGTAGATGGACAAACTTTATGACTAAACATACCCAGAAGCACATCAAACAAAGCAATGCAACAAGTAAATAAGCCTGCTGAATACACCTGAAAGTGTTTGTAACATATGCACCTGGCATAACAACTATTCCATACCACATGACAGTCTGGAGTTAGCCTAAGGGAGAAAAACTCCTGTTTCTAAGAAAAGCAGCTAAGAAAATGCAGAGCTAATGGTGTAAGAATAAAACAGAAGATACAAAGGTCTAAGTTTCAAAATGTAACAGGAAAAATACACATACTCTGGAGCAAACTTATCCAGCCTCTTGAAGAGTTCATTTTTAATTTCCTGGTTCTCCACAATGGCTTCTATCACCAGATCCGTGCTGTGGACCACTGCTACTGCATCAGTGCTTGTTGTGAGGTTCTTTAAGGTCTTCTCAATGAACTCAACACCAGCCTGAAACATTTCCAAGAAGTTGCAATGTCTATTTACAATGATTTAATTTATTTTCACATGAAAATCCTCTTATGTGCTCTGAAGTGTTTCTGAGCCCTCAAAAACTCAGGCAGTCTGCCACATTTTCAAATCAGTGAGAAAGTTCTAACTATGTACAGATACGATGCTTTCACTGACAAAATTTTCCTAGCCAATCAAATCTGCTTTGAAGCAAATAGGAAACCTTTCAATTCATTCTTTTAGGAAGACTATTTGCTGCAGTCCAACCTTCAGCATAAGAGTCTAAGTGAACAACTGGTTGATCAATCAGTAGTTTCTGAGACAACTTGGACTTGCCCTCCATAAAGAGGAACTTTTCCGGTTTCAAACCTTTGCATTGTTTTCATCCAGTGATTATCTAGTCTCACTCCTATGAACAGGTATGTGCTAGTTCACGAATACTTCAGGAAATGAAATGGCCTACGCTCACTATAGTTTCAGTGCATACGTGGGGAAAAAATATTCTGTTTTCTGACTAGTAAACCTGCCAATCACTGACATAGTTTGTGAGGACAGAAATCAAACAGAACTGCAAGACTTTGAACCAAGGGTAAATGGAGACACAGTACAAGTAAAAACACCTGCACGCTAGAATATAATGTCATATGTAAAGTACAAGCATCATATGGACAATTTTCTTTTGGATTAAAAGACCCCCCATAATTATGTATGTATGCTCTGGTTATCCTGGTATTACTATATTTTTCCTTCTGTACTCCCTCATGCAAACAAGCCCTTTTTTATTTCCTTTGTCTGCTGCATCATTCATGCTGGTAATCAATACCAGTATATATTATATAAGTTAATATGTATCAAAAGAAGAATTGAATCTGCTGTGGAATTTAGAGAAACAAGCATAGCAACAAATAACCCTTAGGATATAAATTTAGATGCATCAACTGCTCCAGAGTGACTTCCTGTATGTAAGCCTTACTCAGTAATGTAAATGCAAAGTATCTTATGCATCTAATTCATGTTACTCCAGGGTAGTTAAACTTTTCCCTTGCAGTAATCCTGTGCCCAAGGCCGGGGGGGGG